TGTGTGTCTCTAGTGCTGTTCAATGAAACAAACGTGAATTATGAGTGCTATCGTTGAGAAAAAGAAAATGCACGTGACAAAAGCTTTTTCAGACGTTGTCATGACGCTGATTAATGCTGGAACATTGTACCTGAAGCAGTCTCGTCCTTTTTTTCGGATTGGCCTTTGTCTGATTTTGATTGGTAATATTCATGTAATATTAGCTGTAAGTAAATATTGGGTAATTAAGAATAATCTGTATATGCGTTTCATCGCTAATTTTTTTTAGGTTTTTGAATTCATACGTGTTTTGTAAGTTTAACGATGAATAATAATCTTTTCAGTTTGTAGTACAGTACTCGGCTTGCTGCCCTATGGCTCTTCTTATAAATGGAAATTTTTGTCTGATTTTGTGGTATTTATTTGAGATGATTGTTTCTGACTGATCATATTTAAATTAATTTGTTGTAGAAGTGATAAGCCTCAAAATTTCAGCAGTTATTAGAAATTTGTTACAAGCAAACGGAGCATTAGCAAGTCTAAAAAAAGATATGAAGAATGTTGAAATAAGAAATTTAAGAGATTTCGGAAATAGGAGAAATGATTTTGCGTTTTGTAATTGCAAATCTTTTTGTATCTATTTCATTTTCAATCTTAGGTGGAATAACTTCGTTTTCTCAACAAATTTTGCGCTTATTTTCACTAACTAGCAGTGATTTGATGAGATTTGAAATATGGCGTTTGTTCACTCATTTCGTCTTCGAAACCAATGTCTTTGCAATTATTGCAATGATATGGAGTCTTCATCAAGTAGCATCATTAATGGAGCCCAATTGGGGTTGGTTTGAAACGACCAAATATTTATTCCTTGCACAGGTAGATTTTATATAGTATTATGAGTGCCGGAATTTTTAGATGTTTTTGATGCATGGGCTGAAGTCACAATTGAGTTCTACTGAAAATATTAATTATGGCAGTAATAAATGATAAATTTTCGTTTAACTATCAGTCACATCGTTCTAACTCAGTACCATTTATATTTTCCATGACATTATTTTAATATTCTTGAAAGTTTTGGATTGTTTTGTGCT